AACTATCTAAGGATTATTGGTACTATTCTTGCAACTTTTTCATAGGTCTGAAATTACATAAAAATAAAACATTAAAGAAAAAATGGTAAGAACGTTAATTTATTGAGCATGGGGTAGAGATCATCATTTGATCTACTTAAGAATTCTTCTTTTATCAGGATTCTTTGTGACAGAAAGGCTCATCATAATTATATATCCATGCCTCACTTAAGGTTTTTGTTTGTACCATATTGTAATTATATACTAATGCTTTAACCTGTCCAAAGGTAACAAGTGGTTTGTTAAAAGTGAAGGAGTGGATAGGTGGGCAAAGAAAAGTTTTTTGTTTGTTTGTTTGTTTGTTTGTTTGTTTTTCATCAGAATGGAAGGTCTTTTAACCCAGCAGCCATGGACTATGTTCAGTATGACAGTTTGTTCTAGACTCATTTCAGGTACCACCTGAGGCTTCTTTCAGATTTTTTTCTGAATGTTTCACAGAAAAAACAATGTTACTCAAGAGGCATTGTAGATCTATAACCCCATCAGACTGGACACACGCAGAATAAGGAGAAATGCAAAGTATTCTAAGAGTTTTGGATGGTAAGCCAAAAGGTAAAATCCTTTTGGTAGAAGAGTCAATGCTAGTTTTAATGCAGGAATCACTAGTTCAAGTAAAGGGATTCAGAGGTAGACTGATAGCCATAGAACAACTGGAACAGCCAGAAGAGCTAACTGGCAGGTTGCCATGATAATAAAAGCCTGTTCCTAAGTCAAGTCTAAGGGACAATCTACAAACAGGATATTCTGAACAAAAAGTGACTACAGTCAGTGTAGAAATAGTCCTCACCTGTGCCACACAGAAAGAATTGGTGGTTGCGAAACAGAATTGTTAATAATTGTAGTGCCACACTCTACTATTAATCAGTGTCAATATGAAGGCCAGTGCTCTTTATGTTCAGACTAGAATGCATGAGCCAGTCAATGTCGAAAGCATATAATATATATGCAAAGCATATAATTATATGCAAAACATATAATAACATAATATTTCTACTTTTCTCCTGAATCTAATTTGTATTGACTTGACTGATAATGGCAAATACAGTATTTGGCACATGAAACAATGCTGAGAAGCTAGCAAAAAAAATACACTCAGCTTGTATTTATTCTTTTATTCGTGGGATAAATAAACCTTCAGAATAAGAACAAGTGTCAGTATATGCATAATATATCAATTTGGCGAGCCCTTCTCACTAGCCAATTTATGATTGTTGTTCACCTTCAGAGACTGAAGACTAAAGTCATAGAGAGAAACAAAAATTTTTGTGGATTTGTACCTTTGGTTAGGACTATAGTTATGCTTTCTTGGGATTAAAAAAAATGCTCATATTTATATACCAAAAACAAAATGTGAATATAATTTCTAGAACTAATTAAGTACTCAGATCACCAACTGTAACTTGGCGTGACTCAGACACCTCAACTCATTCAAAATGTGGACTGAGTGTGTGTAGACAGCAAGCTAGTTACATTTCTGTTGACTCCTTTGTTTCTCCAGGGTCTTCTTACATTTTTATTTCTTGAATGTGAAGAGCAGCAGGAGGAAAGCAGCACTGGATTAACACAAATAAGCCATACTATTTATTATTCCTTAACAAACCCTACCTGACTCCAGACCAACTCATTCTAACTTTAAAAGGTATAGCTTCCTGAAGTAGAAAATATTAAGCCATCCTGGGAATCTTTCAAATCTGTTTATGAAATCTGAGCTATGAACACTAAACAGAGAAATTCTATGATAATGTGGTTTGGGATTGGGGGCTGTTGTTTTTGACAAATGAAGGCAAGCCCCTAGATGGAAAATCACTCATAACTTATAACTCAGCTGTAAGACATCTGCTTATAGAAATGAGTATATTTGTACATTACTAACCACCTCACCAATGAGAATTCAGAAGGTCCGTATCTAGAGACCTCATGTGGACATCTTCATTTCCTGTCTTTTCCCTCTTTTTAAGCTATTGTTAATGATAGAGGCCTCGGAGAGGACAATTTCTCAGGATGTCCTTAGACACACCCACTTCTCATTGGTTGGCTATTTGGTTGCTTATAAAACATCTTACATTATCCTAAGAAGTTTTAGTGATGCAACTATTATAGATAAACCCCTGAGATGGCAAATTTGGGAAGATGAAGGTGGAAGAAGACATCACACAGAGATTCATTGTGAACTTCTACTCATGCACTTCGTGTTAACTGAACTAGGACACAGTTGTCCCCTAATCCTCTGGGTAGAAACAACTCATATAGAAAGTTACTGAAGTGGCAAGGTTTGGAAACCCACCATCATTGCTGGAAGACTTCTTCAGATTTAGACATTTTCAAACTGGTGCTCACTGCCTAGTCATGTTGTTGCCCTTGTGGTTCTTGGCCCTCATTCCTGGGCCATCCTCTACTCTTGGCTCGTTTCTGTCTTCATTCTCCATCTAAAGATAGCATGCAATTCAACAAGCACCTACTATGTGTCAATACTGCACTAGGCAACTGTGGTTGCCAGGAACATCTCACACACAGTATCTGCACCCTGAAGGCTCTTTCTATAATAAAAAAGATTACTCCATGAACATCCTCAGTTCAGCTTAATAAGTGCTATGAAGCTATGCTATCTCAGAAGAGAAAGTGATGAAGTTTGCCTGAGGAAGCTGGGAATAACATCCCAGAAAAGATGTCGTGTGTGGTGGATCTCAAAGAGTGAGAGGGAGTTGCAAGAAAATGATTATCTTTGGTGAAAGAGCACTTGGAACATCAAGGAAGCACCTCTTCCAACCTCTCTGGAAACCGTGGGACCACTTAACTTTTCAGTGAAAAAGCTGGAGCCAGAACCCAAGTCTCCTCATGCCCAGGCCAATGGTCTTTTCACTACCTATTCTCAGACCATTCCCTTTGAGATGCAGCCTGTGTTTGGAAGAAACAAATCTGACAAATGATTATGTTATCATGCTTTGTCTTTACATTTCAGTTTCTCTTTTTACTCCATAATATATATTTAATATTACATTTTTAAATTATAATTTAATGTTTTAACATTTCCCTAAAAATCTTGAGTAAGATTGGTTTTGCTGGAATACTTATTTTACTATGGTTTCTGACCATTGAGGAACAAATGAATTCTGGTTTAAGAAGAAAGGCTACCAGTCATCTGTGATATGACAGTGAGACTTCTCAGGAAATACGAAGTTCAATCATCAGATGTCCACTTCCATATTAAATGCAAAACAAAACTCTAAACCATTCAATGCCTTCTAAAGTTTAATCCCTTGCCATTTTAGTGCAGACTAATTTACCAACTTAAATAAAATTCTGATATTTCACTCTGTATAGTAAAATATGTTGATTATTAGGTTGAAAGAAGCATGTTTATAATAATTCTGAATATGCTAATGATATTCCTCTAACTTAAATTTGAGTTAAATCTTCCCCTACATTCCAAGGATGCAATTACAGCATATCCTCACATGTACTTTTTTCTGTTCCATTAATTGTATCACCTAGAGCAGCATTGTCCAATAAAAATACAATGCAAGACATATGTGTAATTTAAAATTTTCTAGTAGCCATGTTAAAAAAAAGTTAAAAAAACAGGTAAACTCAATTTTATAATACGTTTTGACCCAGTATATACAAAATACTATTATTTAAACATGCAATCAATATAAAAATATTAATGAGCTATTTTACATTATTTTTGTTGTATTAAGCCCTTAAAAATGGTGTATATTTTATACTTACAGCATATCTTAATTCAGACACTAAATTTTCATTGGTTAGAGTGAAATAAGTGAAATGTAATTCTACCAAAATAATAAAGTTATGTTTTATGGGAAATATTTTACGTTGCTTCAGTTTTAAAATTTAAATTAACTAAAATTAAATAAAATTTTAAACTTAGTTTCTCTATTGCACTAACTACATGTAGCTTGTGGCTACCACATGGGATGGTGCAGCTCTAGAAGTTAGAGCAAACAGAAAAATATGGGTGCATTAAAGTTTGCTCTCAGTAAGGCGTGAGGGAATTATGTATAAAAAGGGGTCAGAAAATAAGCATATAAAAAATAGTAGAGTGGTAAAAATGTGAACTTTGGAGTTAGACTACATTACATGTTGGTTTTTATCTGTGACCTCTTTACACTTCAGTTTTCTTGTCTGTAAAGTAATAATATCTGCATTATTGGACTCTTAAGATTAAATGAGATAACCTAAGTAGTGGGCTTTGAAATCTAGCACATTCTGGAGGTTCAATGAGTTATAACTAGAGTTATTAGTATCTATGAAAATCATGAGACCTGTTTGCATTTAGTGTGGGGAACCTGTGAGGGGTTATAATTTAATTACTTGTGGGATATAGGGTAAGGAGAAAGAGAGACATTGTGGCTTTCTTTCTTTTCTTCTTTTTTTTGATAAATTTTATTGCATTATAAAGTATTTATATAGAAAAGTGCACCAATCATAAGTGTACAGCTCCAAGGATTTTCACAAAGCAAGCATGCCCGTGTAACCAATATCCAGATCTAGAAACGAAACATTTGGAGAATCTCAAAGCTCTCCTCATGCTCCAACAAAATAAACCACTATCCTGATGACTTCTAACACTATAGGTTAGTTTTGTCTGTTTGTAAACTTTACATAAATGGACTCATACAACCTGTGTGAATATATGTGTCTGACTTCTTTCATTTATTCATATATTTGTGAGATTTTTTTCATGTTGTTGTATGGGGTAATAGTTTGTTCTTTCTCATTGCTGTGTTGCATTCCACTATAAAAATATCCCCACAATGCATTTATCCATTCTACAGTAAATGGAAATTTGGGTTATTTCTAAACTGGGTTTACGGCAAATACACCTGCTATGCACACTCTTATATATGTCTTTTGGTTATGGGTAATTACTGGAATTTGAGTTTTCAATCTTGGATTTGTTGAAAAGAGAAGACTTACTCATCCTGCCATTTCATTTGCAGGAACCTTAAATAAGCATAAAGAGTTGGAGGACCTTGTGGCTAAGTTCCTGAATGTAGAAGCAGCCATGGTCTTTGGGATGGGATTTGCAACTAACTCAATGAATATCCCTGCACTAGTTGGAAAGGTGAGAATTTATTAACATAATTATCTTCTGCTCTATTATCCCTAAGAATTATAACTCTGAGAGGTCCTTTTCTTAGGAAAAGCTGATTGGGTGTCTAGCTTTTTAAATAAATGTACCAGCTTTATCAAGCAAATCTCTTAATCATGATATTCTGCTTATAGAATTGCAGCCTTAGAAGTGGGTCAAATTTCATTTTTCATGATGGGTTAGCAAAATTGATTGAATTTTTAGGCTCCCAAGTCACCACTTGCTATGTAGTCAACACATATTAAGCATTTATTTAAACAAAACATTTTGCTTGTATCATTCATTCATTTTATTTATCCAATAAATCACTTATTGAGAATCCACGAAGTCCTCATATGAGGCAAGATATATAGGGCATGCAAAGATGAACAGGACCTGTGCCTTGTAAATTTATGTAGTTTACAGTCCAGTGGGAGAAAAAACGCACCAAATAAATAGGATGATTATTACAAAAAGGGTTTGTACATACATGGGGAAGGACAAAAGAGGTGCCTCAAACTTTTCCTGAGAAAGATTGGGATGCTTGTGCAAATTGGGTGACGTGAGCACTTAATCTTTTAATTATCTGTAAAGATAAATAAGTTATTTTCTTAAGACGAGGAAGAAGAAGTAGCATTTGTAAAACACAAGGTTTGAAAGAACTTCAGTATAGGGTAGTGGGTGAAGAAGAAACCAGAGAGGGAGGCAATTGCCAATTTGCAAAGAGCCTAACAGTATAAATCATGTTAAGATGTTTGAAATTCTTCCTGAGAAAAATGGGGAGATGATTGGTTCATTTTAAGTAAAAACAAATGTCATAACCAGCTTTATGTTTTAAAAATATCTGACTCATGATAACTAAATATAATGTATGATCTTTGATTGGATTCTGCATTAAAAAATAAAAGGAAAAAAAATGTATAAAAGACATTCAGATATTATTAGAACAGTTGGAAAAATATGAATTTGAATTGTATATTAGATGACAGTATTATAGAAATATTTAATTTCTTGGGTGTGATAATTGCATTGTGATTTCATAGGAGAATGTCCTTGTTTTTAATAAGTACATGAGGTTTATAAATAACTCTCAAATGTTCACCAAAAAAATTATAACACACACAGGCCTAGAGTATAGAATTGTGACAATTTTGCTGGTTCCTGCCTCAAAAACTTAAAACATGTCATGTTTGAACTTTCCAAAATGCAAGGAAGAACTCAGATTCTGGGTAGCCATGGAAGACAAATGGCTACCATAGTTTGTATCTGCATTTTTGGTATGGCGGAGCAATTTCATAATTTAAATTTTTTTTAATTAAAACAAAAAAAAATTTACAAAGAGTAATTTATAAGCAGTAAATTAGATTTCCCTTTTTCCACTTGCCTCAGACTGAATTGTCATTAATATTTTTCCAAAGCAAATTCAAATTTTTTAACTGTAAAGCAGTAATGCTTTTATCTATAATGCTTTTATCTTTTATGATACATGGATATCAATACAATGGAGAATGATAATTCAGAAAACAAGAATTTGCAATGTTCTGCAGAAAAAGACCCTTGCCTTCCAGATGGAGTACACTAAAACTGTCCCAAATAAATCAGCATCGGATAGAAGAGCCCCAGAAATTCTACAACCCACCCAAAAGTATATCAGTTTTCCTTTCAAACATCAATCCTTTGGATGCTAGCTGATACTTAACCAAGATCTTAAATGACCTTTTCTGCTGAGAACCATATGTAAATGATTAAAGATGTAATCCCTTAAAACGATACCCATTTTCATCTGTTAATTGCTCTATGGTATTTTATTCTTACAGATACCAAGTTAACTCCTGGCCTTGTAAAATTGAAACAGGTTTTGGGAATCTGTGTTTCAAGCGTTGCAGTGTCTTTCTGTTTATACGTGTTGTTTTTACTTAATTTTATTTATTGACCTATGTTTTGTGTGTTTATTTTCTGAACAGGGATGCCTCATTTTAAGCGATGAGTTAAACCATGCATCTCTTGTGCTTGGGGCCAGAATTTCAGGTGCAACCATAAGGATCTTCAAACACAACAGTGAGTATCAATGTATTTATTCAACATGTACAGCTTGCTTCTAGAAGGAAGTGATTGATGGGGCTTTGTCCTTGCTCTTCAAACTGGGAACTTAGCCTAATGAAACACAATTATGTTTATATTCACTACTGGCTTGTTAACCTCTGCTGACCCAGAACATTTGGTTGACGTGCATGTAACGCTCAGATTGCTAAGTATAACCCAAACACATCAGTGTCACGGTTAGTGGTCTTGCCGCACGACCTCTGAAGACATGACCAATTCTTTAGGACTACAATTTAATTATTAGGAGTGTTATAACTCTTCTTTTTCTGTTACTCTGCCTTGGGAAATTTGAAGACTTATTTGTTTTATTTTATTGTCAGGTAAGAAGTGATCTTCTTCCTTAGCATAATGCTTCCTTTCATTATCCCCACCCACCGCATGGTCAGACACTCTCGCCCCCCCACCAGCCCCTCCACACACACACACACAAAAGCAGTCTATTCAACTTCACTGAATAGCCCTTTCAGGCTCTGTGTTCTGTGGTTGGGTAATGAGGAGGCAGAGGCTATTTCTTCTTAGAGACTTGATGGTGCAGTGTGAGAAATATTAAGAAATCCTTAGAAGCAGGTGGTGAATACCTGAGTTCTATCATCCAGCTCTGCCCCAACTTGTTGCATCACTTTATGTAAATCTTTTCATCTTTCTTGTACTCAGTTTTCTCATCTGCAGAATAAGAGCGTTGAACTAAGATGTATAAAAATCCTCTTGGTTTAGTTTCTGATTCCAATTCTTCATTACTGTCCTCGGAATGCTCCTCTCCTACACACGTGCAAACATACACTTGATTTCTATCTATTCTCACCATCTTTCTCTCCTGCTTCCTCTCTACTTTTACCTATTCATCTTCCTTGGCACTCCAATCCATCTTCCAAGGAAGTAACAAAGAATGAAGTGAGAAGAAAACTGATAAAGAACTGAGGGAGAATTGTTACAGTTCTGTTATGTCCACTTCACAGAAATCTCAAACCCAAGAACAATTGTCCCATGGAAAGTAAAGCAGATACATAGGAGAATTCTAAAGTGAACCTCTTTTCGAACTTGTAGAGTTATTCTAATGAAAAAATCTGCTCTTACTGAGTAGGGCGAGGTCTAGTTATGCCTTTAGTTAACCACTTTCAGCAGATGTCTGAATATGGATATTCTGGAGTCAAGTTCAGTCAAGACCAGGCCCTCACCCCATTCAGGCAAGGTCTTTCACACCTATAACTCAACTATGACATCCAGGTCAATGTTAATTCAAAATACATTGACTTTATTTCTTAATTTTGCATCAGACACTCAATTTTGGTTAGTCTCTGATAAACCACATTATATTCCTCAAGTTCTGTTTCATTTATCATTGATTGTCAACTATAGACTCATTATTTTGACAGCATTGGGGATTCATGTTTGGAGTTAAATATCTTTTAGAGTTTCAAGAAGTGAGTTTATTAAGAGACAATTTTGCAACACTCTTTTGAATCTTTAGCATGAGGGTGATTGGCGATCAAAGCTTTTGTCTACTTGGGAAAGGATAAAGAGGATAGTTGACAATTATTCAACTGTAGCTCCATCCATAGATATGGTTAAATAAGATAATCTCATTCCTAGAGGGAGACATATTCAGATTGTTACCTGTATGGAACAAATGAATCAGATTGTAGTCAAGGTTAACCTCCCATTTCTTCACTTTATTCTACTGAGAACAGTGGCCAATGTTCCCAGTTGTACAATAGAGGCTTCTAGAAGACATCTATGAAAGATCAATCACTGGACCCACCTCCAGCCAACAGATTCCAAATATCTGGGTTGAGGGTCAAGGCAGTTGAATTTTTTTCCATGCTCCCCCATATAATTCTGATTCACAATGAGGAATATAAACCCTAGAATCTTGTTTTCTATCCTCTTTTAGTTTAGGCTGACCCTGGATCTTGTCAGTGTGCCCTGGAATATATCACCAGATACACATCATCATATTAACTATCATCACTCTTCCTCTCACCATAGCAAGCACTCTTTTATACTTCTGGTGTAAAGTTGGCAAAAGGAGTCAAAAAATGAAGAGAAAGAAGTAAAAAAATAATAATACACCTCTTCTGATTCAGGCACTGTGTTAAGCTTTTGGAGAACCATAAAAACAATTGGTAACATCTTAGCTATGTGAAAGTTTACAATCTAGTAGGAGAAATAGATGTGTATGAAAGTAACTGTATTGTGGGTTAAAGCATAAAAAAGACCACAGCGATAACAGGCAGTGGTTAAGAGTACAGGCTTTGGCCAATGTACCCACTAGAATAGCTAAAATAAAAAAAGATGACAGCACCAAATGTTGGCAAAGATATGGAGCAACTAGAACTCTTTGCCATTGTTGAAAGGTAAAATGATACTACTTATTTGAAAAACTCTTTGGCAAAGTCTTATAAAGCTAAACACATCTCTGTACTATGATCTAAAAATTCCATACCTCAGAATTTCTAAGTGAAATGAAAGTGTATATTAACAAAACGTCTTGTACAAGAATATTCAAAGTAACTCTATTCATAATAGCCCCAAACTGGAAACAGCCCTAAATTTAATAGGAGAATGGGAAAAAAAAATTGTGTCTTATTTATATGACTCTATAATAAAAAAAAGGAATAAACTATTAATACATACAACATGGATGACTCTCAAGAAACATTATAATGAAATAAGCCAGACACAAAAGAGGATATACTATATGAATTTGTTTATAACAAATTTAAAAACAGGCAAAAATGATCTATGGCAACAGAAATCATAACAATGCTTGTATCTCAAGGTGCCGGAGGGAATTGGTAAGAAGAGGTATAAAAGAACTTTCTGGGTTTGTAAAAATGTTTGATATTTTAGTTGGAGTGAAGCTTACATTTTTATTAAAACTCATTACATTATATGCTTAAGATCTGTATATTTCCTTATAAATAATTTTTCATAAAAATATAATTATCATACAACATATATAAATTTAAAATGATTGATTTGGTATTTTTAAAAAAGTATAGGCTTTGACCCAAGCATTTGTGTTTTTGTTCTATAGCTTATTAGCATGTTGTCCTAAGCAAATTACTTAACCATCTTGGATGTCAATTTACTTATTCTCAAAATGAGGATAACTACAATACATGATTTATGATAAGTTGGAAGAGACACATAAAGTGCTTACTTAGCATGGTATCTGGTGAAGGAAACTACTGAATTGTTTGTGCCTGCTGTGTTGTTATGATTATTATTATCCTTATTATTGTTATCACCAGTACCACTAAGGGACAGTAGCAAACATTATGGTGAATGAGAATAATGCAGAGGTCATTTCATTTTGGAGATTGCATGAAATGGATAGTATTTGTCATAGATTTTGAAGGATTAAAATGATTCTAATCAGAGATGAGAAAAAGATATTTCAAACAGAAGAATAATCTAGAGTATGCAAAGAGCCACAAGACCCCCAGTGTGGCCTAACTGTGTGGCTGAACTATTGAAGAAGATCCTGAAAAGTAATGCCTCTGCCAGTTAATGTAGAGCTGCTAAGATAAACAAGCTAAGTTGGATGCACTCAAAAAAGCAATAAAAGGTATCTGCAGTTTGCTTCATGTCATGCTGTTCCCTGGATGAATTGGATTTGCTCAAAGTATTTGGAAGCCCTTTCATATGTCCAATGGAGATGGAAATAGAGATATAAACTTTGAATTAAGCTAAATCTTTAAACAGCAACAGATGGAAAAAACCATCTACTTATGGAGTGTAAAGATCAGCTGTCCCCATTGCAATTCTCTTACTACTTCTCTATGTCACGTGTATTATTGTTTTAAATTAAGCCTAATTGGAGGTTCTATAAAGATGATGATAATGATAATTTAGATAGATAGATTGATAGATAGATAGATAGATAGATAGATAGATAGATAGATAGACAGACAGACAGACAGACAGACATGCATACATACCCAACAGGGAGATTAAGTGAAAGTTTTGTTAATCACTAACCAAGCATTTCCTATTCTCCAGTTTAAGATTTGTAGGTAGCGATCCTCCAAGATGGCCATGATCGCTCATCTCCTAGTATTTATGCCCTTGTATAGCCCCCACCTGCATTGTCTCAGGATTGGTTTGCATGTTCCAAATAATATAATAGAAGACATGATGTGTCAGTCTTAAGGTTAGATTGTAAATACAGTATGGCTTCTGCCTCTCCTCTTTCGGATCACTTGTGAAGATATTTAGGCAGCCTATGAAGAAGAACTGAGGCCTCTTGCCAACAACCATGGGAGCAGGGCATCTTAACTGATCCTCTGGTCTCACTCAAGCCTTCAGATGACTGTAATTCCAGGCAACATCTTGAGTGTAGCCTCACAAGTGTCCAGAATAACCAGCTAAAATTCTCAAATTCCTGATCTACAGAATCTGTGAGATAATAAGTGTTTATTGTTTTAATACTCTAAATTTGGGGCTAATTTGTTACATACCAATAGATAACTAATACAGCTTCTCTGGCCACCAATAGATAACTAATACAGTTTCTGCTGGGGCAGAAACTCGACACCCAAGTGTGACTTCCTGCTTCCTCCTCCCCTGAACTGAGAATGAATGATTATTCTAAAATGAAGGGCTCAGCAAAACCTGAATCCTTTCACCCAACTACTTTACCCACCCAGTCACTGACAAAGAAGCGAAAATAGAACAAGTTGGAAGACAAGCTGTTCTTGGTTTACATGGAGGCAAGAAACTTGAGAGCCTGTAGCATCTAGGTCAGGAAGTGAAATAGTGTTTGGCTAATGCTTCTTGAGAGAGATTCCCATGGCCAACATGGCCAAGGAATGTCAGGCCCTGACCCACCATGTTAGCAACTCCTTTTTGGTGAGGAGAGGGGCAGAAGTGACTAGAAGTGCTTCTTTTCTTATTGGCTAAGGCTGAAATATAAAGAGAATAGACAATTATCACTTGCAATCCAGTTCCAC